CTTGGAATTTCTATTTCTTCTCTTTAGGTTATGGTGTTTCCTTTTCTCTTAAATGTCTGTTGGATTTGAGGGACAGAAGGCCCAAACAGTCTTTTTCTTTAAACAGAAACACAAGTCTAAAAAGGTAATTTAACTTCTTGACTACTTTCCTCCCAGAAACACGTCACACTGTAAATACATCCAGACATAAATTTTTCACTGAAATTTTAACGTGATGATCAGTACTGTGATGGTAAGTTTGGCTTATTCTCTGCCTGATTCTCTACCTCACAATCTCAGTGGGACAGATGACCTCTTCCCTCTTCTTCAGTCCAAAGCCAGACTGAGTAAGGTCCCACCTCACTGGAAAACCCCTCGGGTCATCTGCACCTCCTTTCTCCTGGTCTATACCTTCACCTGGTAGGACCAGTGTGACAGGTCCTCAGGCCTCATTCCTCATAAGCTGCTCTCATCCTTGACTGTGGTTTGAATGAAGTTTGCATTTCTCCCCAGGAAGGAGCTTGGTCCTCAGTGTGATGATGCTATAGAGATGGGACTATTGGGAGATCCTTAGGTCACAGAACTGCCTTTGAGAGCTAGATTTCCTGGGACCTGAGTAAGTTTTATTATTATAACAAAAGCAAGCCCAGTTCCTCCTGGTCTTCATGATCCCTGTTTTGTGATGTGGTCTCCACTCTCACACTCTCTGGTCACTGCTATTATCTGGAAGGTGACCCAGTCAAGGAGACCCTCATCAGAGCCTGGGCCATGCTGCTTAGGCTTTCAGTCTCCAAAACTAAACGGTTAGCATACCCTTGTTATTTCATTATTTGTGCAAAATAGACTCAGGTGTCCTTTCCATAAATGGTACCCTGTGCTGCCTGGAGCCTGGTCACACAAGCCATTCTGAACCTGCAGACCTTTTCTTCCGATGAATTTCATTCTAATCCAAACCTTGACCTTCCTACCTTCAGCATGGGCCCTGGATCTGACCACTTCTTACCTCTTCATCTCTGCTACCCTGCCAGTCCCCTTCTACTTCCTGAAGATCATATCAGGAGTCCAGCCCTGCGCCCCACCCATGATCATGACAGAAAAGCTACGCAGATGGAGAGTCCTCTTCCAAGTGAAAACCAATTCACTGGATGCCCAGAAACCCTGGCCATTCCTGCCACACCTGGAATGAAATTCACATCCCTGTTCACCACTGACTGGTCACATGGTCACTGTCAGTCTCCTGTGCAGCTCTGGTAACTGCTGTCCTGTCACATGGCCACTGCCACTCCTCTCCCTGTGCAACCGGCCTTCTTGCTATTTCCCAACCACCTAATCTTCCTTCAAGTCCTGGGCATCCCCATCTGACCAGGATCTACTCAGGTCCTTGCACATCCTCGTCTGGTGGCATCTGAAACACCCTCCCTGGTTGATCCATCTAAACAGTCATCTCCCACTACCTGGTCCCTGACCAGATTTATTTGTCATCAAATCACCTTGACAACTACTCATTCATTCACAGCATGGCTCCCTCATGAGAACACAATAGATTAAGACAGAGAAATCAACTCAGCGAAGTAGAGAGGAGCTGGAGATCCTTGCTCTGCCTGCTCCACTTCTGGGACGGTTTCCTCTATCATTTGTAATTCTCATCCTAACCCAGCCCAGGGCTCAGGCTGATAGTGGCATGAATGTGTGCACGGTGCCAGCATTCTTTAACTGATCATCTTTGTGACTCCAGGTTTTCATCATCCGCACCTGCATCCGCATCTGCATTTTAACAAATGCCTTTGCCTCCAGTGAATAAAATCTGCCCTTCGGTGAACGTATGCAGCTCCTCATTTCCATTATGTAATCTCATCTGTTACTAATGAATATGATTATTCAAATCATAGTCGAAACGTTTCAGAAGATGACCAAAGGTTAGAAATACATAACTAATATCATACCCCAAACATTTGGAGGAATCACAAAGTTTACGTGTGTTCTCATGTTCTCGTCTGAAAACCAGTAAGATGGAACTGTAAGTTCATACACACAGAGGAAAACTGCTCCCCACATTCAATACACCGTTAGAATCCTGTTACATGGATGGTGAGGACCTAATGATAGCCAATAATTCTCCTCTGAAAAAGATGAAGACAACTGAAAATGACAGCATGCTCACCATGTTAAGGCAGAATTGTTAGAAAATTCTAGATCACTCACCGGTGTGCACCTAAGTTATTAAGGTGAAGTCCAGATTTTTCTTCAGCAGATAACCCATCCATCAACAAGGAGAAAATCAGAAAATTGCTCTGGCCAAGAGGCTGTGCAACAAGCCTGGACTTCTCTAGCATATAGGTATAAATTCTGGCTGGTTAAGAAAAGAAAAGGGATTCTGTTAAATGGCATCATTAGTGTCATTTTCATAAATTTATGCGTGTTAATTAGTCACAAGAGATAACTACAAAGGTTCTTTTCCAACACAGTCATTTAAGAAAATATGAAGACATTTTACTTTCCATAGCAGTTCTAGGTGTCCAGAGGTGCTAAACCCAAGGTACTGACTGTTCAGGTCACTCCCAACTCCTGCTACCCAAGCCAGTGCTTCCTCTGTTAATGTCTTACGTGATACATGGTTAAGTCTAAGGAGCCCATATTGGTCCAAGTTCATCAGCTAAGTCCATGCTTCATCTTAAGGTTCACCCTGTGTCGCACAGGCTTTAGAGAAATCTGTCACAAGGTGGAGGACCTTCTCTTAAGGTACCACATAGGATCCCCTCACAATGTGGTATGTGTGTATGCATGTGTGAATGCATGTGTGCACGGTATCACATGGGGATCCCCCACTGTGCAGAGTGTGTGCATGCACATCTCCATGGCTACTTAATCAGACATCAATTTCAAGACGAGGTCTTTTACATTTTCTTCATTCATTTTTCTCTTCAAGCAAAAATTCGGCAGCGGCATTTTCTGCTTACTATTAACTCTGAAATATTTACTGTTAAAGAGAGCCCATTTTTCACTCTACACAAGTGTGTAGTATACTGCTGCCACAATTGTTCAGCTCCACTGTTTTCCCTCTCCAGCATCACGTGAGAAGGGAAGGCTGAGAGGTCCTGCTGCCTCTGGCCTTGGAGCTTGGCTGATGCGTACACACTTCCCCAAGCCAGGACAGACTGCAGTTGAAACAGTATTCAGTGCTAATCAAATGCCAAATCACGACTGACTATAACACCCTTCATCTAAATTCCTAAACAAGGCAATTATTAATCATCCTACTTAGCTCATCTCCAGCAGGGAATAAAATTGCTGTGGATTAATGAGATTCTGATCAGTAAGATTAAAAAAAATGTCTTGAAGGAACTTCTAAATCGAAGTACATTCCAGTCAGACTTTAATATTCTTCCAAGCAGAGGAGATTCTGAAGCATCCAAAGTGTGTCTGTACAAGGTCAAGAAGGAGACAGGGCTTCTGAGTTGGTGAGGCTGCAGAGCATATTGCTGCCAGGGTCCACACCGAAAAGAGCTTCCCTTAACCGAATACCGGACTAACCAACACCGGCATGCTTCGAAAGCTCTTTTATGCAAGAAATAATCTTGATTAGAAACGCAGTGCAATCCTCTATGGCCATCTCCATGTCAACTGATGATTCTCAAAAAGTCTCCAGGTATCTACAGATGAACTTATCTCTCAATAAGTTCTGAATTTGTAAAAATACATTTGATGTTTATACATGATGTCACATGTAATTGAGGTATTTCATAGATCCAGGCCAATTTTTGTTCATTAAAATAGGCCTTAACATATATGACAGAATACATGAAATCTGGCGGTGATGCTATGGGGGGGTGAACATAGAGGAGGGGGGTCTAAATCTGATTGAGATGTAACATATGAAATGCACAAAATCAGGAAGTAGAAGGAATAAATTACTCTCTCCTTCAAGAAAGATAAAGCACTGCCATACTCTTTACCTGGATTTCCAGAACCTACTAACACCCACTCCTATGTTGTCTCACCTGTCTAGTTGTAAATTTATGACAAGCTAGGGTCTCCAGAAGTCTTCCCCTGGCTGTCACTCAAAGCAGACCACCAGCTCAGCAAGCAAATACTGGCTTTTGCACACGAATACATTTCTTCTTTTTTCACTGCCTGAGATGGCTCATGTTTGGGTGAAGCATTTATCCACAAGCTATCATAGATAGTGAGGTAATCGGAGGGGCACCTCTGAGTGGTGAGCCTGAGAATTCTGCTCCTGAACCTGGCACAACTCACTTAACTTTGTTTGCCTAGCCATAAATATGTGAAAGAAAAGACTGAAACATTTCAGGATCCCTCTGGACTTCCCAGAGGCACCACCGAAAGCATCTACCGAATGCCAGATACCAGGTTCTTTCCAGACACAGTCCATTCTGAGTGTTGCTATGGGCTTTTGCACATTTCACCCTGTGTGCCTTATATCCAAAGACAAGGCTGCTTTCTGCTGTTGACATAAGCTAGAAGTGATTAAAGCACTCCAGAGCTCTTAAGCATGCCCAAAGGAGTCTGTAACACTAAAGAAACTGCTGATGTGAAAGAAGGTGATGGTTCATCTCTTAGATGTCTCATTCATGTATGTAAAATTCAGTCAGGATCAGAAAGACAGTAAGAAGAGGACCATCATATGTGCTCCATCTCATTTTACTAACTCAGGGTTCAGATTTCCTAAGCATGGAACACAGGGACTGCATTAACTGAAAGGTGTTTCCTACTGTTAGCAGATTTCAGTTTCAACAGAAGTAGATCCTGGGTTCTCCAGTCTGCAGAAAGACAAAGAGCCAAATACATTTCCCATTCCGCATCAGAACTCTGATCTACCTCCCTTTGCAGTAACCCAGAATATATCTAGCAAAGGAAAATATCTGTATTTATATGAACATGAAAGGAAGGAAGGAAGGAAGGAAGGAAGGAAGGAAGGAAGGAAGGAAGGAAGGAAGGAAGGAAATAGGCCTTAATAAGGGAGATATGG